TTTTTTTTTTTTTAATTCTTTTTTATTATTTAATTACTTAAAAAAACCTTTTGAAATTATATTAATAAAAAAAAGAAAAAAAAAATCAACATTTTTAAGCCATAAATAAATGCTTCCAATAACAGAGTACTAAAATTTAACAATTTTTTTTTTTTTTTTTTTTATTATTATTATTATTATTTTTGCTGAAGATTCTATGGCATCAAGAAGGCCAACTAATCACAAATTTGCATTGGCCTTTGGGATAAGCCTTGGTTGCATCTTCCTGTTGATACTTGGATTTGGGTTCTTCATCTACTGGAGACACAAGCTCAACAAGCAGATCTTTTTCGACATTAATGGTAAAAGAAAGAAAAAAGAAAGAAAGGAAGAAAATTGGTATTTAAATATAAACAAACCAAACCCCATATATCCCACATTGTTAAATTAATTTTCCAGAACAACATGATGAAGAAGTGAGTTTGGGGAACCTGAGAAAGTTCGAATTCCGGGAGCTGGAGAGCGCGACACACAACTTCAGCAGCAAAAACATCCTTGGCAAGGGCGGATTTGGAAATGTGTACAAAGGGTGCCTAAATGATGGCTCGATTGTGGCCGTGAAAAGGCTAAAGGAGGGTGATAAGATTGCAGGGGAGATACAGTTCCAGACGGAGGTTGAGATGATCAGCCTAGCCTTGCCGTGCACAGGAACCTTCTCCGCCTCTACGGCTTTTGCACCACCTCAACCGAGAGGCTTTTGGTGTATCCTTACATGCGTAAGGGAAGTGTGGCTTATCGTCTCAAAGGTTGATCCAAAAGCAAAAGCACCCACTGCTGCTCTACTTAAGACTATGTTTGGTGGCCAAATAAGCTAGTTTGGTTAGCTTATAAACTTCCTATATTCAAATAAATCTAGTTTGGTAGGACAAATTTTTTTTAAAAAGTTCGAGCTTATCTCATAAGCTTGTTTAACTAGTTTTTCAAATAAGCTTGTTGAAATTAGCTTATCAGCTAATTTTACCAAACACTTTTATCATATGAGCTAGTTTTTCAGCTATAAGCTCGAAAAATACATATAAGCTATCAACTAGTTTTACCAAACATAGCTAAATCACTTCCACTATTACTAAACCATGTTTATTCATGTTGTTTGGCAGCCAAACCAGGATTGGATTGGGGCATTAGAAAGAGAATAGCAGTAGGGACAGGTAGAGGCTTGGTATACCTGCACGAACAGTGTGACCCAAAGATCATCCATAGGGACGTCAAGGCTGCCAACATATTGCTCGATGATGACTACGAGCCAGTGATCGGTGATTTCGGGCTTGCAAAGCTTCTCGATCACACCGACTCTCACGTCACCACCGCCGTCCGTGGTACTGTGGGCCACATAGCCCCCGAATACCTCTCCACCGGTCAATCCTCCGACAAAACCGATGTCTTCGGGTTCGGGATTTTGCTGCTGGAGCTTATCACGGGGCAGAGGGCCTTGGAGTTTAACCACAAAGGAGGAGCCATGCTTGATTGGGTCAAGAAAATTCATCAAGAGAAGAAGCTAGACATACTTGTGGACAAGGTTCTGAAGAAGGATTACGACCCGATCGAGCTGGAGGAGATGGTGCAGGTGGCCCTGCTCTGCACGCACTACCTCGCGACTCATCGTCCCAAAATGTCTCAAGTTGTGCGCATGTTGGAAGGAGATGGGCTGGCTGAGAAATGGGAGGCCGAGTCCACCAGGTGTCGGCCCAATGAGTTCTCGTCCTCCCACAGATATTCTGATCACACAGATGACTCCTCGTTGCTCGTACAAGCAATGGAACTATCGGGGCCTAGGTGATTTTGTCTGCTTCAGACCAAGAATGGCAACATTTTTTTTTTTTTTTTTTTTTTTCTCTGTAACTAAAAAGAGTTCATCTTTGGAGTATATAGTTATGTTGAGTGAGATCTTTTTGGGTGCTGGTGTCCATGTATTTGAGATTGCATGCAACTTGTAAGAATAATGTTTTACTTTGATGTTTTTTAGCTTTTCCTCATTTTCAACTGTTTATGGAAGGATTGTACACAACAACAATGCCATTTTTCTTATTTTCTTCATGTTCAACTGTTTATTTGGCGCTAATCCTCACACAGCAGAAAATACCAGAAGATATTAAAGTATATAATCAAATATCATATATTCCTAGTGTCCAACTCTACTACAATGCCCAAATAAGTTATTTCCTTTTACCCTTTAATAATTCCTAACAATTCCATCTTGGCATAACATTAACACACAAACTATTCACAATTTACAGGAAAACAATTCAGTTTTTATAGCCTCAATCAAGCTTCCCCTTCCAATCAATTACACTGTATTCATTGTAAGTGAAAAAACAAGAAAAAAGCTTTTATCTTTCTTTACTCGAGCTTTTATAAGCCTTTACCTGGAGAAAGGAGAGGAAGAAAGAAAAAAACCTGTCATACCGGTTCGTGAATAAATTTGATAGATGCACGTGGAGAAGCTCGACGAAAGCCCACTAAGTCAATTAACATGTTAAGTCTCCCTTCGGTCACGTATAGACTAGGCGTGATACTCATTTCCTCAAGATAAGGCGAATGTTCGAGTACAAATTCGATAAATTTCATTTCGTTGGGCACACCCGAGACATCTGTCAACTTCACGGTTTTCAACTGATGAAACGTACAATCGGCATGTGATTTCTCAACCCAAAATTGCAAATCGGGAGCTTGCGCGGCTGAGGATGTGCTTGATGAACCCTAGTTAAAAGTTTAAACAACTTTAGTAAACAGCCCGGAAATTAAGAACCTAAGAATTCGAGCCTATTTAATGTTGCAGCTTGAATATTCTTTTCTACAACTTATAAAGTAATCTGTGGAAAAAAATCACTTTACAAGTTAGTTTAGGTAGCAAAGTGTAAAACTACAAATATTTAGGTAGCAAAAAGTATCTCTCTATAAACTGTCGGCAAAAGAAGTATGAGAAATAAGCAGGTAGAGACAAACTCACTGAGATCTGCAGTGCTTTAAGATTTGGAGAGTTCACAATGAGCTGAAGCACAGCCACAACCTCTTTCACATCATCAAAGCTAACTTGATACAATTCGATGAATTTTAGGTGGTGAAAAGTTATTAGGCTACGTCCTTGAGTGCTACCTATACTCAAATACTGAATCGAAGGGACTCGTAAGTTAGTGCCAACCAAAACAAGTTTATAATGCTAATAAATGGCATTTAGTCTTTGTAGTTTGAACACACATAAATCTTAGTGTGCAAGAAGACACCAATTATTCTCCCAAATAAAATAATAATCATTAGTATTTGATGAGCAGAAATTGTAAAATAAGCTATAATATTTCCTGACAGACTTTTACATACAAGCAAAACAATTTCACTAACTCGAAAATCCTCATGTGTGAGTTCAAATGTTGATCATTACAAAACTCAGATAAGAAAAAAAAAATACTCGAACATAAGTATATATTTCCCGCCAGACCCCTATAGCTGGACGAACAAAATCGCAATTTCCATATCTAACATTAACGAGTAACAAACACACACACAAACACACAGTCTCACCTTAGTAAAGTATATATGTCCGATCAACCTCTCGAGCTTGGGAACCCCACCAAGAAGCTTGTCAAAATTACAACTCGAGCTCAGCTCAAAGTGTTCGGCTATGTCATCTGTCATGTACATAGCAACTGATATTGCCACCAATAGGGGCGTGCTCGCGAGGCACAAATCCTTAAATTCGCCTTCCAAAATCAGGTACTTGAGGTTCGGGGCCCGCAAGGTCAACTCCAAGCTATCAAAGTAGGACAGAGTCAAACTCTCGAGAAGCGGGCAACTCGATATGAGACACTCAATATCATCCGGCGGTATCATGACCTGCTGAAGGTTGAGATACTTCAAGCATGAAAAACCACTAAAATCCGAAGGCGGGTTGAGTTCGCACCGGTACAGCTCTAAACGGGTCAAATTCTTACAGGAGAAGACACTCGAAGGCGCCCTAAACCACTCTCCTTCTCCTAATTCAAGAATTAATTCTTTCACGCCCTTTCGGGAAATAAAGAGGAGCCACTGGTCGATATCGGGTGAGCTCTGCAAATATGAGCTGCACAAAGAGAATTTGTGGATGGGTCCCTCGTGAAGGAACAAGCAACGGGTTATGAAATTTACGATTTTGTCCTGGACGAGGCCCCGATCGTTGTAGTGGGCCGAGCTCCAGTCGTCGAACACGAGATGGGTAAGAGACGCCCATTTGTATCTCCACTTGGTGGATAAGACGCTCGTTTTTACGGCATCCCTGATTGGGAGCTTTGTGAGAATGGTTTCTATAATGCTTTGGGGTAGTTCACTAATCAGATCGGGGTCGTAATCAATTTCCATTCAATTCTTCTGCTGAACAGTCCTAATGAGCAAAATACAAGAACCAGCATTGGTATATGTCAAAAAGATGGTAGAATTCAGGCATAATATATTGATCATGGTTATCCAAATTCATTAAACTAGGAGAGATGACCAATGCCTAACCCTTAAAACTGCAATAGTTCAACATTCATTTTTCTCAACCTCCCCAACAACCCAAAGGGCCAATGCCTAACCCTATCAACCAAATGAAAATAATAATAAAAAAAAAAAAAAAAAACAAGGAAGGAAGGAACACATACACACTATATTGCGCAAGGAAAAGCCCATTTTCAGCTTTACACAGAAAAAAAATAAATAAATAAATTAGCATGGAAGAAAATGTTGAAAAATTATGATCTTGGTGAAAAGTATAAAGAAATTAGAAACAGAGAAAGGATTAAAATGTACCTCGACAAACAAAGACGATTAGTCCGATGAAATCGAATTAAGGGCTTGGCTTGTAATCTTTTGTCGGCAAGTTTGATCATCAATTTACGTCTCAGACAAAGCTGACCGACAGACTGAGGAAGAAGGTCTGAGATGGGTAAGAATATCGTTCGCCTGCACACGAAGAGATGGGAATTTTTTTTGAGATTTCCTTTTTCTTTTTTTTTTTTAACTTTGTATATATATATATATAAAATGGTGTAATGTAATTGCAAGGGATGGCAATTGATCCGTACCCGGTCCGACCTGGCCCGATCTGCAGCCTTTGGGGTGGTTTGGACCCGCTCCGTTATCAAAATGGGCCAGGGCAGGTCTGCCTGTTATGGAAACGGGTCAAGTCCGAGGCATAGATGTCGACCCGCCTCGACTTGCCCCAGCCCGACCTGGGCCAATGTAGTGTAGTCAAATTCAGGGGTAGTAACTAGTAAGACTATCCTTATTGATGACCCATCATGTTGAGTCACCAACTACAAAATAAAAATAAAATAAAATAAAAAAAAAAGAAATTAAAGAGTAATGGGCGACTCAGGTCACATTGTGACCTTGAGTCGCCACCGGGGACTCAACACTTTTCCATTTTTTTTTTTTAATTTTTTAATTCCATCATTATAAGATAAGATAAGATATGAGTGGGATATTTGTCCTTTTCTCATTGGCCACATTAATTGTAATTTGATAAGATAAGATCTAGCAATTATTGAGTTTATAAAAAAAGTAAAAAAAATATCAAAATTCGTATTTTTTCATTCTCTATGAATAGAGATCACTCTTGATATGTTTTAGATCACAACTGAAATTTCTCTTTGTTCACTCTTTTTTTAATCATACCTTATTAATTTTATCATCTCTTTTTAATTTTCTTAATTTCAAACAAATACCATATGGATCCGAATTTTGAGTATTACCTCAATTCTCAAAATTTGTCGAACTCTGAAAATTTTCAGAATTTCGAAAATTATTCACAAGAGTCATTTTCTCCTAATCTTACCCAATTTCCAGATTCTGTAAATGCCCAACCCCACAAAACATCTCTCGAAATTTATTTCAAAATGTGCAACAGACACGCACAAATCCTCAAAAAGGAAAGAAAAATGTTAGTTGGAGTGTGACAGAAGATATTGCTCTAATGTCAGCTTGGTGTTTCGTTAGCGAAGACAAAATGTGTGGCAAGAATCAGAAGGGTTCTTCATTATGGGCACGCATAGCTCAAATGTTTGAGCAAGCTCGATTGAAAAATCCAGAAGAAATTGGTGAAAAAAACTTGGATTGAATGAAAGGTCGTTATAAACGCCTTAATGAAAATATAAACAAGTGGAGATGTGCTTACATGGAAGCATAAATAAATAAAAGGAGCGGAATGAGCATGAAAGATGTTGATAAAGAAGCTCATATAATTTATGAAGCTGGTGGTAGCAAGTTTACAAACTTGCATGTATTTGAAGAAGTCATGCGAAAGCGTCCCAAATGGGAATTAAAATTAGATCGTGATTCAACTCGTTCACGCCCTGAAGATGACTCGAGTAGTAAAGAAAGCCATGGCAGTTCCAAAAGATCAAGGACTACTGAAGATGGAGATTATTCAATCCCTTCAAATCCAAACTCCAGTTAGTGATGGTTTTGCGATTTCTCGTCCCAAAGGTAGAGATATGACGAAAAAGAAAGGAAAAAGTGTAGCATCACAATCTTCTTCCATTCTTGATGAGTTCACTGCAGAAATTCGTGCACTAAGATTTACAAGAAAGAACGAATGCGATTTAATGACCAAAATATCTGAAGTGAAATAGATTTCACCCGGGCTCCTTCAACTCGAACGGCCTCCGTACCTGCAGAACCCAACGCCGGGGGTGGCCCTGGCGTCGGGCCTCCGATGCCTAAGTCAGTGCTCAGATCAAGAGAGAGAGAGAGTGTAGTATGGAATGAGTAGAGAGAATGAGATACCTTGGCCCCCTTTTATAGGGGGAGTGTACCTTTTGGGCCCAAGTTGGGCTTGACCCATGTCGTTATGCTTAGATATCTTAGTGGGCTTATCCTCCAATACATATTCGCTTTATCCATTAAACTGAGTGTAGTATAATATCATATATCATCTAGTCCCCCCACTCTGGTCGAGTAAGCATAACTCGATCCAAGAGTGAAATGCCCTTTCGAGCTGTTTTCTTCAAATTGCCAATAAGACCGAGCACCGAAAGTCGAATGACCATCGAATGACCACTGAAATAACCTCCAAATGAGCATTGAGATTTCAAGATCGAAAACCGAAAGACCACGAAGGTCGAAAACCAAATGACCGAACGTCGGGTCGAAAACTGAAAGATTTGTCAATAAAGACAATAACTTAATGACCTGCCACTGAGATCGAACACCGGAAGTCGAACGACAACTGGGGTCGAAAATTGAATGATTTGATGTTGAGGTCGAAAGCTGAGAATCGAGAAACCATTGTGGTCAAAAACAGAGAATCGAGAGACCGCTGAGGTTGAAAGCCGAGAACCGAGAGACTGTTGAGGTCGAAAGTCGAGAATCGAGAGACCGTTGCAGTCGAAACTGAGAATTGAGAGACCGTTGATGTCGAAACCCGAGAACCGAGAGACCATTGAGGTCGAGAACCGAGGATCGAGAAATCGTTGAGATCCAAAGCTGAGAACTGAGAAACCGTTGTGGTCGAAAACTAAGAATCGAGATACAGTTGGGGTCGAACACCGAGAATCAAGATACCGCTGAGGTCGAAAGTCGAGAATCGAGAGACCGTTGAGGTCGAGAACCAAGAATCGAGAAACCGTTGAGATTGAAAGCTGAGAACCGAGAGACCGTTGCGGTCGAAAACTGAGAATCGAGATACCGTTGGGGTCAAACACCGAGAATCGAGATACTGTTGAGATCGAAGCCGAGAACTGGGGTCAAACACCAAAACTGAAGTTTTAAGGTGAGAATCGCGAGACCATTGGGGTCGAAAACAGAAAAGCGAGATGCCGCTGATGAGGTCGAAAAACAGAAAAGCCCATTTTCAGCTTTACACAGAAAAAAAATAAATAAATAAATTAGCATGGAAGAAAATGTTGAAAAATATGATCTTGGTGAAAAGTATAAAGAAATTAGAAACAGAGAAAGGATTAAAATGTACCTCGACAAACAAAGACGATTAGTCCGATGAAATCGAATTAAGGGCTTGGCTTATAATCTTTTGTCGGCAAATTTGATCATCAATTTACGTCTCAGACAAAGCTGACCGACAGACTGAGGAAGAAGGTCTGAGATGGGTAAGAATATCGTTCGCGTGCACACGAATAGATGGGAATTTTTTTTTGAGATTTGCCTTTTCTTTTCTTTTTTAACTTTGTATATATATATAAATGGTGTAATGTAATTGCAAGGGATGGCAATTGATCCGTACCCGGTCCGACCTGGCCCGATCTGCAGTTTTTGGGGTGGTTTGGACCCGCTCCGTTATCAAAATGGGCCAGGGCAGGTCTGCCTGTTATGGAAACGGGTCAAGTCCGAGGCATAGATGTCGACCCGCCTCGATTTGCCCCAGCCCGACCTGGGCCAATGTAGTGTAGTCAAAAGTAGGGGTAGTAACTAGTAAGACTATTCTTATTGGTGACCCATCATGTTGGGTCACCAACTACAAAACAAAAATAAAATAAAATAAAAAAAAAAAGGAAATTGAAGAGTAATGGGCGACTCAGGTCACATTGTGACCTTGGGTCGCCACCGGGGACGCAACACTTTTTCATTTTTTTTTTTATTTTTTAATTCCATCATTATAAGATAAGATAAAATATGAGTGGGATATTTGTCCTTTTCTCATTGGCCACATTAATTGTAATTTGATAAGATAAGATTTAGCAATTATTGAGTTTATTAAATATTAAAAAAATAAAAAAAATCAAAATTCATATTTTTTCATTCTCTATAAATAGAGACCACTCTTGATATGTTTTAGATCACAACTGAAATTTCTCTTTGTTCACTCTTTTCTTAATCATACCTTATTAATTTTATCGTCTCTTTTTATTTTTCTTGATTTCAAACAAATACATATGGATCCGAATTTTGAGTATTACCTCAATTTTCAAAATTTGACGAACTCTGAAAATTTTCAGAATTTCAAAAATTATTCACAAGAGCCATTTTGATCTTACCCAATTTCCAGTTTCTATAAATGCCCAACCCCCACAAAACATCTCCCGAAATTTATTTCAAAATGTGCAACAGACACGCACAAATCCTCAAAAAGGACGAAAAATGTTAGTTGGAGTGTGGCAGAAGATCTTGCTCCAATGTCAGCTTGGTGTTTCGTTAGGGAAGACAAAATGTGTGGCAAGAATCAGAAGGGTTCTTCATTATGGGCACGCATAACTCAAATGTTTGAGCAAGCTCGATTGGAAAATCCATTAGAAATTGGTGAAAGAAACTTAGATTCAATGAAAGGTCGTTATAAACGCCTTAATGAAAATATAAACAAGTGGAGATATGCTTACATGGAAGCATACAAAAATAAAATGAGCGGAATGAGCATGAAAGATGTTGAT